AAGCACACGACATTACTATCACAAAGTTCTTTTAACTTTGCATGCTCCTCGAGCATCAGTACTGGCTCAGCAACAAAATATATGAGATCCATTATAGGATGTTTTTCCTTTTGATCTTTGGTCACGAATATTTTGTTCAGTGGAGACAATATTAAACATATTAATACAGATTGCAAGAAAGAGTGAAATAAACATGAAACAAAGACAACTATTTTATATGAAACACTACAAAAGGCATCCGACAAAGTAGAACTGGTTGGACAATGAACAAAGTAGCAAATAAGCAAACTGAGACACTTAATAAAACGAAATAAACATGAAACAAAGACAACTATTTTACATGCGTGCATAGATAATTTGTGTCACAACTCTCCTTGCTTTAGGGGTTACTCCTACAAACTGAACAAATTGGTGAAGCCTTTTGTAGTAGTAACAATGCTTGCATACTTTAGCCATGTTTTCGAGATTGCAATTTCTTCGTGGCTCAAAGTTGACCATATTTATATAGTAATCTTGCTCCATAAAATTTGGGATTGTACTTAGTGTCTTCTTGACTCTTTCCCAGCGATGATTGGAGGTTGATAGTTTTTTTCCCATTCAAGTTTATCCAAATACTTTTTCCCTTTCCAATAGTTACCTAAAGCAAGCATTAACAAACCGTAAAGATACGTACCGTCTCTATAGTTTAGCCTGGACGAACTGCGTATAAGATCAAGACCCCTAACTTTTTTTTGTGGACGAAATACTGAAGTAAGCCCTCAATATAGTATGCCTCCGGGTTGTCATTCTCCAAGCATTTTTCCTTCAACCTAGGATGCTTAGTGAGCATTTCCATTGGTTTCGAAACAAAATATGAAAGGCTGAGGTTTCTGAAGTAGTTTTTGGGATCTGGACTTGAGTTGTTTGAGTCTTCAAAGCTATCACCGGTCTGATCATGCGTATTGTAATTCTTCACCAAAGTTTCTGATTCCATCTTCCCCGAAGTGTCTTTGGAACTCCTTTCTAAAACAGTATATATTTTTGGTGGTTGGTTTGTTGCAAGAAATGAAAGAAATGCTCTATACGTTTTGAAAGATGAGAGATAGTTATAAAGAGCTTTGTTTGAACAAGATGTGATAGCACATGATGTTAGCCTGGACACATGGAAGGCCTATTTTAACTTGATTAATATAGTATTGTCATTTCACTTCCAAAAGAAACCTGTTGCTTTTGAAACATGCTTCTTGATATTACAATCCGTGACAGATTTAAAGTAGAGGCAAGTCATGCAATGCAGCCAGCCAAAAGTCTCGGGTATAGTGATACTGATATATTCATTATAATATTCTCACATGACTTCTCTACATACAACGTAATTTCTAGTGCATTAATATATACTCACTACAAATTTCAGATGGCTTCTCTACATACAACGTAATTTCGAGTGTGGACAACAAAATACACGAGATAAAGACAACATATTAAACTTCAACTGTTTGACACAACACTGGAAACGTGACACTTTCCGCCTATTATCTACATTACATTCATTACATGCAAAAAAATTTTATGTAGTATTATTAAGACTTTAAACTTTAATGAAACCTTACCGAAGAACATGAGAAACATATTTCAGAAATATTTTGCTCCTTTGCACACTTATGTAGAACATGAGAAACATATGTCAATATATGTTAATCCCGCGCATGCGCGCGGGCGAGTCACCTAGTTAAGAGTTTAAGACAAAAGTTGCGTGTAATTATAAATGAACTTATTTTAATGTAATAACTAGGCCTATTCAATACGGTAATACCGAACCGAACCAAACCAAACCGAAATAGACAATATGGTTTGGATTTGGTATATACCATATAAACCGAATGGATGTGATTTTATAAAAACCGTAGGATTTGGATATGGTTAGGTTTATAACCGATCAAACCGAATAAACCAACCAAAACCGATAAGAAAACATATATATAAATAATATATATATGTACATGATAAATGATTTGTTATACAAGTTAACTTTTTTTGTTAATATTTAATATCGTTTAATTTATATTAAAGAAGCCCTAGAACACTTGAAAAATAAAAATAAAACTTACGACAGCCGAAAGTTGCTATTGCTTCTTCTTTTACTCTTTTGCTTCCTTTCTCCATAGAATACGTGAAGGTATGTCAAGAGTTGTAAAAAAATTGGGTCATTCACCGTCCGTTTGTTTCTCTGTTTTTATAATCAACTAATATTTTATTATATTTATTGTAGATGGGAGATTCTATGGCCAATAAAACTCAATTTGCAGGACAAAAGAGGAAGCAACCAACAGAACCTTCGGCTTCTACCGATGCTACTAACGTGCCGATGTCAAAACCAATAAAGCAGTATGTGACTCGTTCTGATGCCTGGAAATATTTTACAAAATCTAAAGATGATCCAGAAAAAGTTAAATGTAACTAGTGCCCCTCAGTTCTTAAGTATAAACCAAAGTCTGGTACTAGTGTTTTGTGGACTCATCACAATGCTTGCAAAGGATACAGACCTCCTGCTACGTCTGACACTCAAGCGACATTGGTTAAGAGTAGTGAATCTGGTCAGCTGGTGTTAGTTGGATTTGATCAAAATGCTTGCCGAAAAGAAACTGCTAAGATGATTGTTTTAGATGAGTTACCGTTTGCATTTGTGGAACATCTTGGCTTAGTTCAATTTTGTGAGGTTGCTGTCCCTAAATTTGAGATTCCTACACGTTCTACAATCACTAGGGATGTAGTCAAAATGTACATGGAAGAAAAAGCTTTTCTAAAGAGCTTGTTCAGTAAGAATAAGCAAAGATTGTGTTTGACTACAGATTTGTGGACTGCGTCTACTACTAGTATAAGTTATATGGTAATCACTGCTCACTTCATCGATGAGAACTGGTGTTTAAAAAGGAAAATCATAAGTTTTAAGCCTGTCCCTGATCATAAGGGAGAGACAATTGCAGAACGACTTAAGAGTTGTATGATGGAATGGGGAATCAAGAAGATTTTCACTATCACTGTTGATAATGCTCATAGCAATGACAATGCTATTAGACACTTCAAAGAAAAGCTGCAGTGTATGACCGCTGATGCTTTGGTTTTAGGAGGAGAGTTTATGCATGTTCGCTGCTGTGCTCATATTTTGACCTTGATTGTAAAGGATGGTCTAGATGAAATCAGTAGCAGTGTGGATGCTATTAGGAATGCAGTGAAATATCTAAGGTCATCTGATCATCGATTTCTATCCTTTCAGATGCGGTTATCAGTGAGCAGGAATGTTACAAGAGGGAGCTTGGTTTTGGATTGCTCTACAAGGTGGAATTCTATTTACCTCATGTTAGAAGCAGCTCTCAAATTCAGGTCAACGTTTGACATAATGGCCAATGAAGACAGACCATATAATGCTTATTTTCTCGAGTGGGAGAACAAGAAAAAGAGAGATGGTCCACCACTAGAAGAAGATTGGAATAAAGCTAGTCGTTTGAAAAAATTCTTGGTGATTCAACATTGGCATTTTCTGCTACTAAGACAGTGACGTCTAGTTCCTGTTATGATGAAATTTGCAGCATCGAGGCATCCTTGATCTCATTGAATAATGATTATGATCCAAAAGTGAGAGATATGGCATCTTTGATGCAAGAGAAGTTTGACAAATATTGGAATGGTTTGGCTAACATGAATCTGATATTGATTGTTGCCAGTGTCTTTGATCCACGCAGTAAGATGGTGTTTCCTACCATTTGCTTTGACAATATGTACGGTAAGAACAGTTCGACTTCTGTTGAGATGAAGGAAAAAGTCATGAGTCTTTTACGTAAGTTGTTTGATGCGTATAAGATATTTCAAAGCAGAAACATTGATGCGTCGAATGAAAGTCAAACGGGACAGGCAACTAGTTTGGTTACTAATACGACGGTTGGTGGATCTTCGTTTAGTAGCACTCGTCGGCGTCCCACATTATTTTCAACGCTTTATCAACAAATGCAGTCTGCGGACCAGTGTGTTGAATCAGCTAATGAGTTAAGCATATACTTGATGGAAAAGGTTGAAGTAGAAGCAGCTAATAATTTGGGTACAAGATATGATGTTCTATCATGGTGGAGAGACAATAATATGAAGTTTCCTATCTTGTCTGAAGTAGCAAAGGATGTTCTTGCGATCCATGTCTCCACTGTTTCATCTGAATCTGTTTTCAGCACTGCCGGTGACCCGTATAGGAGTTCCCTTTCTCTTCCTACGGTTGAAGTCTTGATCTTAACACAAAATTTGATCCAAACTGCAGTTTTTTCTGATAAACAAAAGAGCATTGAACAGATGTTGCAGGAACATGATTTCATGGACTCCCTAGTAGAAGGTACATAATTCATACTTTAGTTTGTAAGCATTGAGCTTTTAATATTTACAAGCATCAGAGTTATTCACAATTTTTTTCTTTTATCTATAATTAAACAAACAGAATTGCGCGTTCGGTCAGTGGAGGAGTGACTTTGATGGAAAATGTTATGGGAGAGTGGAGAAACTTTTCTTTCGTGCTTTGGTTTTGTTTTTCATTATTTTATTTTCACAGTTTTTTTGAGTTTTGGTTTTGGTTTTAAGTTTGATTATTTTATTTGATGATAGAAAGTAGAAGTGTTTCTATTTATTTTATTATTTTTGACATTCTACTAGTTACAAACATTTGGATTTTTTTAATAAATGATAGCTTTAACAACATGATTCTTTAAAATTAATATAATATAAAACCAAATGAAATAATAATGTTTTTGGTATAAAACCGAATAAACCGAAAACCGGTAGTATAAAAACCAAACCAAACCAAATAAGATATGGTTCTAATATGGAGCTGATTTTTAAAAACCGAAAAACCAAAAAAGCCGAACCGAAACCGGACCGAACACCAGATTGAACATGCCTAGTAATAACCTTAACCTTTTGGGTAGCCCAATAAGCATTAAATATTTAGATGGGCCTTATAGTATCTCTTCCTCAACTAAAAAAAGTAAAACCTCAACCGTCAAATTCCCGCCGCCGTCGTGAAGTTCTACTCGCCGGCACATATATCCTCCATGGCTAGTACAGCAGGACAGTCCAACAGTTATACCACAGCAGCTTTAGCCTTTACACTCGCCGTAGTATCTGTATCCGCCACCATCTCGCGTAATCTCTCTTTCTCTCTACCTCTTGCCATATCTGTTTTATTCATGTTGTGAAACTCTTCTTGTTTATTGATATGGTCCTTTGCGAAGTGTATAGATGGCGGAGACGAGGAGAAGATCTAGCCCATAGGATTAAGAAACTTGAGAAGTCTTTAGGAACCGCCACTGAGAAAAGTGGTTCTGAGAGAAGAGGTCGTGTCAAGGCTCAACAGGTTTTCTTCTATAAACGTCATTGATCTTGAGTCTTGACTATCACGTATGAAGTGAATTTTTGTATTCTTGTTGATTGTGTAGGCATTAAGGGAGGCTTTAGCACAATCTGAGCCACATGACTTGCACAACACTATATACCCAATGCGACCTATTGGCACTGTACAATCTTGCTTCTCCACAAGGTACACTGATACCATTTTCTTGACAGTTTCAAGTGAGCAGCATAAGAGTTCGGTTACCCGTTTGGATTCGGATTAAGTTTTAGGGTTTTCTGATTCAGAGATATAGGTGATATTTAGATTTTATATATGTCCGAGTTGGGTTGGGTTAATAATACTTCGGGTTCGGATGTAATAACTCTGCCTATGACCTATTTTGTATATGAACTCTTTTTCACTTCACTTAATTTCTGTGTGGTTGTATATTTTTAGATATCATATCAAAATAAAAGTAGAAGTGAGTATCTGAAGTATTTATTTAGGGTTTAAATACATATGTCAGTTACTAATTCGGAGTTTTGGGTTAGTTTTTTTTTCATGGGTTTTCGGGTTACAAGTTAGAAAATCCGATTATTTTATATCACTCTACTAAATCCATTTGGGTTTTTTTACCGTTCAGATTGAATATGAATTTAGTTTTTTTGGGTTCAGGTTTCGAATTTTTTGCTCGGGCCTAGAGCACAATGTTGTTCCTAAAATGTTGGCTTTTCATGTGCTGCCTTGGTTTTTTTTTTTTTTTTTTACAGGAACGGGACACCGAGGCAGCCATTGCTTGTTTCTCTTGCTAGAGCTTGTTTGAACTTTGATCCAGCGTTGGTTCCTCCTGCATCTCTTGAAGGTCTTGGAGAGTATTCTCACTGCTGGATACTTTACGTTTTTCATCTCAACACTGATATTGAGAAGCTATGGAGAAAGCCATCTCAGTCTAAGCTCAAGGCAAAGGTGAGAGTGCCAAGGCTTAATGGGGAACGAAAGGGAGTCTTTGCTACTCGGTCCCCTCATCGACCTTGTCCCATTGGTCTCACCGTTGCTAAGGTTCTCTCAATTCTCCTGTAGTTAAGAAAGAAGTTGAATATATATTTCTCAAAAGTACTTAATGGTAGCTTATTTATAGGTAGAGGAAATCCAAAAGGATAAGGTTCTGCTCTCTGGTGTTGATCTGGTGGATGGAACTGTAACTTTTCTTTCCTTTTGCATGTTAGATTTTTGTTTTTCTCTTATCAGATGCTTGAGTAGTTCATTGATTCTTTTAACGTGTTTGGACAGCCTGTGCTTGACATCAAGCCTTATTTACCATACTCAGACAGTATTCAAGGAGCATCAGTACCAGACTGGTTAAAGGTATGATGATTATGTGTATTGACTTCTCTAAGTTTATTGTAATCCAAGTAACTGAACACTGGTGAGACTTCAGTAGGTAGAGAAAGCAAAGATTGAGTTTAATTGAAAATGAATTTCAGGAGGAGTGCTCATTGGCTGTGGCTTCTGTGAGTTTTTCTGACGACTTCTCTTACTCCATCACCAGCTGCTGGAAACTGATTGTAAGTCTTGACCTGACCTGACCTGACCTGACCTGACCATCTCTTCTTCATTTTCCACTTTTACAAAAACTTTTGCTTTGTTTTGTGCAGGAAAAGAAGTCTCTGTATGGTTCAGCGGAAGAGTTCAAGAGCTTGATCACGCAGGTCCTGTCATGGGACATACGATCAATGTCGCAACGGAACAAGCCACAAGACACATCAGATGCAGACAGCACCGTTTACCACTTGATCCTGGAGGGACTAGACGTGTCTTACGTGATAGATAATGAAAGTAGCATTCTCGTCCAAGATGTTTCTCTTTCATATAACTTGGAAGATGTTGCAGAAACCTAATCTTTGTAAACTTCGATGAAATACAAAAACAGTGCTTCCCCTTGGCAAGAGCATTCACCAAGACATAAACAGTTAAGCTTTATATGTTTTATTTACAAAATCTCTGGAATTAATGTTTCTATGATAATACACAATGAAAACATGAGTCTAATAGGGGTATTAAAGGAAGTAAGAAAGCTGTTCATTCTTCCTGTATCCTCCTTCTCCATATAGTTCGTTCCACTGCTTCAGGTCATTCATCAATGCTCCTGCTGCAAAAGTTGCAGCAACCTGCAAATGCAAATCAGTTAGTTTTGTTTGGGACAATATCATCAAACACATCTAGTTGCCTCAACTTACCTGGCTTTTAGCTATTCTCATATCTTCCATGCTCAAGCTCTCAACGTTATGACTCTCCTCTGTTGCTTCTTTTGCATTCACTACTCTTCTCTGCTTACCTTCTCTCAAACCTCCAAATAATGGTTTCATCTAGATCACACAGTAGTCTATTCGTTACTGCAAGAACAAGAATCCGATCACCTAAACTCGACATAAAACCATCCCAAGTGTCTCATAGCTTCATGCTCTCCAACTCTTGTCCTCTCCCCCAACATGCTATCCACTTCATCCACAAATATAATACTGGGGACACTTTGGCTGCTAAGGTGAACAAAGCTCTCACATTCTTCTCGTCTTTTCCAAACCATTTTGAAGTGATTGTGGACATGGATACATTTATGAAACTCGCTCCCGTTTAGTTCGAAATGGCTTTTGCCATCATTGTTTTCCCTGTACCATGTGGTCCAAAGAGGAGGATTCCTCTGCAGGGCTTGAGAAGGCCACCTTTAAATAGGTCAGGCCTACGTAGAGGAAGCAACAAGCTCTTGAAGTGATTGTGGTGGACGAATGAGAATACAAATAGGTTTTGATGGGTGTGGATCATCCTTTTTCTATAGAAATGTTTGTATTAACTCTTATGGTCGTTAATTTTTTGCTAGGAAAATCAACCATTTGGAAAGTTTGCAATGAAAATTGAAAAACTAAAAACAATTAGCTTACTACCCCCAGTGCTTTTTAACTTTTTAAAAAAAAGACTAGAGTTTGATAAAAATAATAAAACCTAATTCTTAATACATTAATTGTAATTAAACTTTTTGAAAACAATAGTTACATATTCTTAAGTAGGACAATTTTTTGGCTTAAGACTGTGCTACAGTTTTTTCTTTATGTTTCTCTTAGTACAAATATAATTACTCAGAAAATTAAGAAGATAATTGGAGAAGAAACATTTCAGTTAAATTACATGTATTGATAATAAGTAGCTTATAGAGTTAAATAAGTTGTTGTGAGAAAAGTAGAGGATCATTTAATATAATAGGCGTCATTTAGTTCATGAAATAGAATATTTGACTTCATTGACGGAATGTAGAAAAAAGTTCACAGATGCTGCCAAACGAGACTGGAAAGGCAAAGCCGTGTTCATTTTTTGACTGGCTGACCTTTTTGAGTCCAAGGAACATTCTCTATTACTTACTTCGTTTCAATTTAATAACCTAGTTATTTGCATATTTTATTCGATTGTTTTTTGTAATGTTTCATATAATGTTTATACTATGATATATCTTTGCATTATTAGGATCTTTTAGCAATAGTGTGGAACAAATCTCAGACCAAAGATCACCGCTTAATGAGATCTGTTTAGTTGGAAAGAAAAAGTGAATGTAAACAATACGCTACTGGTCAGAAAACACTAACTGCTTGGATAGAAACAAGGGACAAAAGTAGAAAGACATAAAACATTACTTTTTAATCAAAGAAAGACAAAGTAAGGATGGAAAAGAAAAAAACCGAACCAAATCAAACCAATCCAGCCAAATCCAAACCGATGCAGGCCAAACCAAATTAATGTCCCAAACCATTTGGTTTAAGGTTTTACCAAATTAGAACAAAACTAAAAACCAACTTGATTAAACTGAACAACACACACAAAACCGAACTAAATCAAACCGAACACAAACCAAATGAAACTCAACGAGAACCAAATCAAACCGAACCCAACCTGACGAATTATAGTTTACTTCAATTACAATTTTCTTAGACATAAATCAATCAAACCGACTCGAACCCAAATTTAAACCGAAATGTCTACCTCGACATAAATCTTTATTTTTCTTTAGACAGCTCTATAACTTTATTTAGACAGCCCTATCATATCAGACATACAGTACACTCTGGTGGTCTTTCGGTGGGACTTATTTGACTTCGCATATTTGGCATCCACTGCTCACTGCCCACAAGGCCCACACCTAATCACTCCTCTCTTCTTTATAATGATCAAGATCTACATCTTCTTTTTCCATCACTTTCTCTTCATTTTCTCAAGTGTATATGTTAAAGACAAGAGTAGTCTGTATCTTTGAATGTGACGTACACCATTTGGTTTATATATATATTTATGATATCGTTCCAAATCTATGTACTACACTAGAGAAACAATGAATTTTCCAAGATCAGCTAGTCCTTCAGTTTCTCAGGCGAGTCCAGATCTTGTAGAAAACCAACGTCAGTCCTCTTCTGGAGAGTTCTCAAGATTGGAAAAACGAATCGGAGCGAAAAAGATAACGTTTCACTCCAAGTCTATGCCACGAGGTTCCATGTTTCATGACCATGAAGCTTTAAGAAACTCCAAGGACAAGAGGTATGACCTATTCAGGACCATGTCAGGAAAGCTCGAACGTCAGATATCAAATCTACGTGGAAAACCCATTGACACTTCGTTGCAGGATAAAGAGATCACTGAGTCTCTCACCGCTGAGAGATTCTTAGACGCTCTTCAAGGCCCTGAACTTGAAACTCTCAAGGTATTATTCTTTTTGTGTGCAAATTCTTGATTTTTTTTTACTTGAAGTTATGGTGTTTTCTATCAAAGCTATATTTAGCATGTGTGAGTGCAGCTGTCAAATAATGTAAAAATTAATTTAATATATGTATATCAGGATCTAAATTTTTTAAAAATTATATATTTTAAAATTTGGTGCTTATAATTTCATACTAAAAAATATATAGATTAGACTATCTTATATATTAAAACAGAAGTCATGACTTGAATTAATGTGTGATTTTTTAAAAAATTACTACTACTAGAAAGTCATGTTACATTAACTCTCTAATAATCTTATCATTATTATATCTTATGAAAAATCATATCTATAATAACAAAGATCCACTTAACAATTTGGTTTTGGTAAATTACCCCACACTTTCCAGTTTAGTCACGCATAATATGTCAATGTATATAAGTTTATGAATCTTCTATTATTTATAAGGAAATATGTCAATAATATTTAAATGCATCCACAATATATTAACAAAAATCATAGATTCGTAATATGAAATATTTATATACCCTAACAAAATTTACACGCTATATATACTAGATAAATTTATTTCGATGTAAATTTTTAAAATTATATTGTTTTAAGAAAAAGAAATTGTTTAAAAAGTTCTTTTTTGATAAGATTCTTTATAATATTAATTTATGAAGCTATAAGTTTAGTTTTTATTAAAAAAAATTTGAAGTTTATATTATCTTTTGCAAATTAAAGTATACTAATATTTAATCAAGCTCTATATATATTAATTTATCTAAAAATGAAATACCAATCTAACAAACAATAAAATATAGAAGCAGAAACCAACACATGTATGAAAACATGTATAATATAAAATTTTGAAACAATCTATTTAATTAAAACATGTATTATATAATATTATTATGTTTGAAAAACATTTACTATACATATCGTAAATATGTGATTAGTATAATATATACCAATTTACAAGTGAAACAAAATGTTTATATAACTAACTAAAACGAAAATAAACACCCGCGCGGTTGCGCGGGTAAAAATCTAGTTAACGTTTAAAATTATATTACTATTTCGTTAAATATACCATTAATATAAAAAGTATATTTACCATTAATATATTTTCAAATAATTTAAGACGGCAACTCCTTTTTTATTGGTGGAAGAACAGGAGAAGGAGACGATAGTGTTGCCTGAGGACAAAACATGGCCATTTCTACTTAGGTTTCCAATAACATCTTTCGGGATGTGTCTTGGAGTAAGCAGCCAAGCCATCATGTGGAAGACCTTAGCAACCACAAAGACTGAGAAGTTCTTGCATCTCACGCAAGTGGTCAACCACGTCCTTTGGTGGATCTCTCTCGTCCTCCTCATCTCCTTCTCCATTACATACCTCTTCAAAACCATCTTCTTCTTCGAGGCGGTGCGCCGCGAGTTCAAGCATCCCATCCGTGTCAACTTCTTCTTCGCACCTCTCATATCAATCCTCTTCTTAGCACTTGGAATCCCACATTCCATCACCACGAGTCTCCCTTCTATGCTTTGGTACTTCTTTATGGCTCCTATCTTGCTTCTTGAGATGAAGATTTACGGACAGTGGATGTCTGGTGGACAACGACGCCTCTCCAAAGTTGCTAACCCTACGAATCACCTTTCCATTGTTGGTAACTTTGCTGGAGCACTTCTTGGAGCATCACTGGGGTTGAAAGAAGGACCTATGTTCTTCTTTTCAGTAGGGTTGGCTTATTATTTGGTCTTGTTTGTGACTCTTTATCAGAGACTTCCCACAAACGAAACCTTACCTAAAGAGCTTCACCCGGTCTTCTTTCTCTTTGTGGCTGCACCTGCTGTAGCTTCAATGGCTTGGACCAAGATATCTACCTCTTTCGATATTGGCTCGCGCATCGCTTACTTCATCTCCTTGTTCTTGTACTTCTCTCTGGTAATGTTTTCTTTTGTAACATTGTAGCTTGCTTGCGACACAAACATTGTAGCTTGCAGCACAAGAATGTGCATTTCTTAACGTGTTGTGTGGTTCTTGTTTCAGGTTGTTCGGATTAACTTTTTCCGCGGATTCAAGTAAGCTATTTCTCTAACTTATTATCAGATTATCGAGACCAAATAAATTAAATATATTTTTTTTGTCAACGGCACATATGGTTAAACCAAGTTTTGGCCGATAAAAGAGTTTATTCCTGAAAATAACTTTATCCGACCATGTATGTCATAAGAATATTAATTAGATGTTATCTGACATCATTATTGTTCTTGCAGATTTTCCCTAGCTTGGTGGGCTTACACGTTTCCAATGACGGCGGTGGCCACCGCGACAGTAAAATATTCAGAGGAAGTCACCGGATTAGCTACTCAGATACTGTCAGTTTTGTTGTCGGGAGCAGCAACATTGACGGTGTTAGGTGTCCTGGTATTGACGCTGGTGCACGCTTTTGTCCAACGTGATCTATTCCCCAATGACTTCGCCATTGCAATAAGTGCAGAGCAACCAAAGCAGAAGAAATGGTTGAAACAGTTCATTAATGGAAGTCGAGGAGATAGTATGAGAGGTCTCAAGGTTTTGGACCCGAAAGATAGTCAAATAGATATAGAAGCCCCTCCTTTATCAAATGCAGTGTGTCACACGGTTTAGTTAGCCAAAAGTATTTAACTTAGAGGTATGAATGAAACAAAAGTATAAGCAATTGATAAAACTAAAAACAAAGTACACATGGTTGCAGCTTCGTCAGACTTAGGCTGATGAGGTTTACTCTCGCAGTTACTATCGTTCCCATGTCTATGACTAACGTATAAGAAGACACAAGGTTTTAACAAGACAGCTCCACCAAAGTCAGTCTCTTGCTTGATTCTGCTGGCCAACTTGCAAAAAAACTCTATGATCAAATGGTTCTTGACACATGAGTAGTTGTATCCTTGTCCTACTAATCAGAAAGACAATTTCCATTGAAGTGGAATGTTATCATGTGAGGTAGAAAAATCCTCATTTGATTTTCAATTTCTTCTTCTCCTTTGATTCTTCATTAATTTACATCCTCATTTGTATCTTTGTATCTTCATACCTTGAAGTATATTATAATTTATTTGGAATGGTGTGCTTAATGCAACCTTAATGGATACTATCTTCAAATGGTATCTCAAATACAAAATAATATTATCTTAATACATTTATAAAACATAATTAGTTTTTCCTTTATTTAAATGTGAAATCAGTTTTATAAAATATCTCAAAAGTTTGGGTTAACGACCTATTTCAACACTAGAATTTTTTAGTAACAAATATACACAATCTTCCAGCCTCATCCTAATTGCACACAATTCAAATATATAACCCTAATACCCCTTAATCAGAAAGATCAAAACCCGTTTCTACACATAGTTTAAAACATGAACTAAAACCAACAAATAGCGGTTTAAAATTGGTTTGATATTCTTTCTTTTAAAACTTAACCAATTATGACTCAAGATCTGATTTATTTAACGGGAGATATTATTTAACCGACTTTAAACCAATGAAATAACCGATTAGGATCTAATCATGTTTCTTAAGCAAATAATTTATAACCTAGTCCCGAAAGACCTGTTAACCCGAAACTTGTACTACTAATTAACACCAAACAGAAAGATAGGTTAAAATCCCCCAAATTGTGTGTTCCAAATTCATAAATCGAAAGAGAAAGTGAAGTTTAACAGAGAAGATTGAACTCAAAGAGAGAAAGCTAAAGGCGAAGATACAATATATTTATATGTAGAGAGACAAATGTATATTTGCAGAGAAGCTGCGGAAAAGCTGCAAAGAAGATGGAGTTTTATAACAGATATGTAATCTAGTAGTTAAATAAATTAAGTTTGTAAAGAAATAACAAAGTAAGTGCGTAGGTTGGTGGTTAGCGCCTTAGACCAACTCCATTGCAAGATTCTTAAGGGAGTTCATAAAAAAACAATTAAAATAATGATGGGTCCCACGGTATAGTTAATGATTCGGTTTTACTAAATACTTTATTTAAGAGGAAACGGGTTTCAATCTTTTTAATTAGGGGGTAATAGGTTTATATACTTGAATTGTGTATAATTAGAACGAGGTTAAAAGATTGTATATATTTGTTACTATATGAAAATTTGGATGTGAAAATATGTTGTTTACCCCAAAAATTTTGACTTAAGATATTCTTTAAGAAAATTTATTCTTTCACACATTTTATTATTATTTTTATTGAGAATTTTACCAAGTAAACATCTTCAGGCTCTCTTTGAGCACACTGTTTAGTATGTGTTGTCTCTCAATTATGATTCGTCAAAGGTATAACACTAGGTAAACATATTTTGTGATATTGGTTTCATTAGTACACTTGAATCATTTGTTGCTTAGAAGATTTTATGATTGGTAAAGTATGTGTTAAGCTTTGTACAAGATTATGCAAGTTCCGGGCCGGACTAGCCCGGTTAGCATGTCTAATCCGGGAATCTTACAAGCAAACTTTAGAAAAAAAATGTCAGCCGTCCTATCATACGACTTATGTAAAGTTATGAGTCTTGTGACTAAACACCGAACCGAGACGTGAGACACCACATGAAACGAACACAACCGCGTTTTTGTTATGCCCGTAAGTACAACGCTAACTCAGGCCCACCCGAACAAAAATATATTATTTTAAAAATATATTTGGTCGACACTATTTATTGACCATTAGAACAACCATTGCAGCTTCATTCTCTTCCCTTTCTTCTCCTAAAATCCCTAAATTTTGAAAGCAGATTCTAAAAGCTAAGGCCGAAACCAAAGGTATAGTTTTTTTTCTAATCTTCCCGTTGTAACGTATGATTGAGCTTCTTGGTTTGTGATGACTCTTTGGATCGTAGGTTTTTTGGAGATGGCATCGAAACGGATTCTGAAGGAATTGAAAGATCTCCAGAAAGATCCTCCCACTTCATGTAGCGCAGGTGCCGATTCTCATAACTTCAATTTTCGAAATTTTGTTGTCTCTGCTGGGTTATATGATAACGGTTTAGGCATTGAATCTCTCGTTATAGCTTTTAGATCTAATCATCTTAGGAGAGGATGAGATTCATTGTTCTTGATGACACGTGTCTTTGATGGCTACCTAATCATTAAAACCGAAAATTTTTAAACTTTTGGTTCTTTCTGGATCTGTTTTCATATTTACTCCTCTGGGATGAGATCTTACGTTATTTTGCTTTCTCTCTTTGTTATCTGATAATTGAAACCGTTTTTTGTTTTGGACAGGACCTGTAGCTGAAGACATGTTTCATTGGCAAGCTACGATAATGGGTCCTTCCGACAGCCCTTACGCTGGTGGTGTTTTTCTTGTTACCATTCATTTCCCTCCTGATTATCCCTTTAAACCTCCCAAGGTAATATTAATCCAAGCTTCTTCTTGTAGTTTTGGACTTTAATCATTCATTGATGATCTGTAGCTGTTATCTTTTAAGCTCTATGGTTGCTTGATTTCATTTGCTTGTGTTGACAAAATTGTAGGTGGCTTTTAGGACGAAGGTGTTCCATCCAAACATTAACAGCAATGGGAGCATCTGCCTCGACATCTTGAAGGAGCAGTGGAGTCCTGCCCTCACTATTTCCAAGGTTTTTCCTTTTGTTCTCCTTCCGTTTCCAATTTAGAACAGCTAGGTTGCAAGTAATAGTCCACTGAAACCAATATTATTTTAAATTGTATGAGTGTGTGTGTGATGTAATATAGGTGTTGCTTTCGATTTGTTCGTTGTTAACGGATCCAAACCCGGATGATCCCTTGGTTCCGGAGATTGCTCACATGTACAAGACAGACAAGAACAAGTATGAGACAACTGCAAGGACCTGGACCCAAAAGTACGCTATGGGTTGACCACCGGTCCTCAAGGAGGAACCGTAATAATTAAACTCTTGTGTTGTTTTTATGTAACGATCTTTATGAATATTGTCTTGTCTTTTTAAAAAAAATTGTGAATGACAGAATCAGAAGATCATATGATCTTCATTTTCATCCTATTCCTATGGAACTATATATATTATTAAATGATCTCATTCCCATCTTCTGTTTGATTATTGTGCCTCTTCAGCGGGCTTGATTACCTTTTTATTTCATTGTTAACTGTAAGCCTTCAAAATGGTTTTCATAGGCCTATAAGAGCGTACTCGTCGGCAACTTGTTCTATCTTGATATTTGACACTAGAAGGTGATGCACCTTTGGTTCTAGTTTGTGCCAGCTTATGCACTATGGGGGCCTGTGCACCCATAATAATGTTTAAAGATCATTTTTGTTAGGAAAAACATTACATTCTTGCTGGATTAGTTGGTAAATGTTAGCTTATGCACCCATGAAAAACCCAAAGTCAACTCTCCCTTGTGATGTATTTTGTTTTATTATTCATAGTGCACCCATTAGCAAGTTAAACAGACAGATCTTGAGACTAACTCTTTTTTAAACTAATGAGATAAAGTCATATAGTCTCTTGTTTCGTGTTTGTAAACAATGCATCGCCAATATTATACCGTTAGTCACAACTGAAGAACATGAATCGTTGATATCGAAGACAATGTTAAACTCTTACATACACGAATTTTCTAAAAATATCCCACAAAAAAATCAAGAACATTTTTAAAATAATTATTCATATCTAAATCCACTAAGACTTGCATCAAGTTATATCAACCCACCTACCGCAGTGCTTCGTGTACCAGAAAAAAAGAAACGGAAAAAATAGTATTAGAAATCAAAATATCAGTTTTCAAGAGAAGAAAGAGGCAGACTATAAATTAATAACCCTCCCCCTCCCAACACTAAGAACCATTACACGAGCACTTCGAGCATTGTCCATTTTATAATACAGTAGTACTTTGTTCCTAAGAATCACCATACTTGTTTTTAATAATCTAACGACCGAGGGCTTTCGTTATTTGTTAAATATCCGAACATGCAAAAAAAAAAAATAGTAATATAAGAATTCTAACTACACGTGCCAGTGATTCGACCAACAATGAATCTATGTTCAGTCTCCATAACTAAGTAAAAGAAATGTTATTAATTTCGGGAGAGTGAGGTCGCGCCCAAGAGAGCAATGCCAGGTTCATTATCAAATTAGATTGTTTTTTTTTTTTTTTCAAATTAGATTGTTAATTTAAAAAAAAACGAAGAAAGAACTTAATTACAGCCTGAGTTTACATACAGTCTTCGATCATCAATCTGCCGTTTTGTCTTTAATGAATCAGAGAATCGTAAGCTTTGTGGCCTCCACTCAATAATGTCATTAATTACATTTAATGGTAGATATTGCTAAATTTATGTCGATGAAAAACGCTTTTGTTTTTCCTTCTGTTACTTGGCTCCATTTGACAGCCCGGGTAACATGTCTCATTTTCATTTATTGTTGAAAGTTGAAAACGTACAAATTGAAGACGTTCCAGCTGCATATATAGCAATAAATACGATTTACTCTTTCTTCAACTATATAGTTTTTTGAGAAAAAAAAAAACTATATACCGTAATCAAACTTTAGAGTTTTGTCACTATGTATAGTGTAATAATTGTCCATTAAAAACATCGTGGTGGTAAAGATCAAATTCATTTCCACTATGAAATTGCTACCTTTTCATGTGGCTAAGTGGCTTGGATCTTCAAATCCTCCAACATAGAGCGAATGGACTTATTTGTCATCAGTGAATAGGATTCAGGAGATTAGTCAGGACTCAGTTGGATTTTGCTTCGTCATGAGATACCTTTGGTTAATTAAAAAAAAAATGTCCAGAAAGGAATGATATGGACATATCGCAATATACTCAAAATCAATTCTCTGTTTTCTCTTTTTTTTTTTGTAAATTCATAAATTTTCTACTTCTCTTGTTAATATATATTTGATTTGGTTTTACCATTATAGTACAATGACTACAAATGATATACTTAAGATGTGAGTCTAAATTGTTCAGAGAAAATTGATTATCAAATTCGTTGGAATAAACTTGTTTATTTGTTTAGCAATTCCAGATAAAACGTATAGATAGTTAAACTATGTATATTTCTACATTTAAGACTAACATTTCTTGCTTGTAAACTAAGACTGTCCACGACAATAACTTGAGTACAGTACTACTCACGAGTCGCGACCATGTAGCTTCTGCTCCGAGACATACATTAATCTGGGAAAACTCGATACTCACACAACGTGCTATTTTTAATATTATCGTAAACTTGGTTATGAAAAGAAATTACTCAAGCGGTGACCTTCTCTAGTCTTTATTTGTCCATCAAAGTTCGAGCTCGTAAACTAGTTTAAAGCCATGCACCAAAATCAACGTACATAATAAAATGTACTAAATGGTGATAAAGCTTCCAACGTTTTGTTATTTTAAGGGTGGCCCTTCTTTCGAAAATGAATCTTTGTCCTTAATTTTATTTAAATCAAGTCTCTTTCATTTCAATTTGGATTACTCGTTCATAACTATAAACGAAGACGTTCATATGCAATAACGCTTATAATATAATCACATTTACTCATCCATGGACTGATATATGGACGATATAATTTCATACTACTAAACAAAAAAATCGACGATGGAAAAGATTAAAACGATGTAGAGACTAGGGGTGAGCAAAATATCTCCGTAAAATTTGATTTGATCCGTTATTCGTTTCGGTTTAATTCAAAAATACAAAGTATATTACAAATACCAAAATTTAATATCAGTCAAAAAGACAAAGTATATTACAAATACTCATATTTAAAAAAATGGATATCTAATTCGTTCAGTTGTAGACATATATATGCTTCTATATTAAATTATATCTTTTTTTAACTTTATATACATTTATAAGATTTTTATTCACTAAGTTAGCTATTTAGTTAGTAAAATTTTAAATAAAGAAAAAATATAATTTAATAGTATGATTTTTTTGTTGTTTTATTTTTTCCATAGGATTTTTTGTTTAATTATATTTTTACTCGAATCGGATATTTTATAGAAATATTGATTTTTTGGGATATCCGGAACACCAAATATCCGGAACACCACATAATCTCTTATATTTTATATAAATATATCATTAAATTTTTGGATATTCATTCTGTGTCCACCCCTGGTGGAAAGCGGAAATGAAATCTAATATATGATTGTGCCTCATTGTAGGCGTAATTAGTTTCTTCCTTTCTTTCTCTATTTTTAACGTTTTTGGCCAAGGTAGTTCTTTATCCTCAGTCCTCACTGTAAATGACAAGATATACCAAATAATTTGTTACCGTTTTCATTAACATATTTGACAAGAAAGTAAGTAAATTATATAAGAACAGAAAATGTATATTCTCCATGAAGGAAGCAGATTGATTTCCGTGAGCGCAGTTAAACGTATACAACTCACGTGGAAAATAAAAATGAATAAAAAGTACTAGCAATTTACTCAAATACTAGTATTTTTTACTGTTGAATAACACTTTAAGAAACATAGAACGTGACAGGTTGTTCATAAGAAAATGAATGAATGGGGACGAACAGCTAAAGAAAGTAGCTGATTATGTCGGTCAAAGGGCTAATGCAGTCATGATATTTAAAAAAGTAATTTTATATACGCTCTTTCAATTGAATATATAGATATACAATTCTATTTTTAATATTTTCGCACAAATTACAACTTGACTCAATATACTACTAAATCTCTTTTTCTAATGACTATGGTGATGATTGGTTAGATTTTAAATGTACAAATTAAATGTTGTACCATTTAGTTTGTATTTTTAATTGTTATAGTTGTATGTTTTTATTGCCTAAAATAGTACAATTTTTTAAAAAAATTAATAGTTTTTTTTAAAAAAACAAAATATAAATAAACAAAAATAATAAGGTTGTAGACGTTGTAGCTTTCATTAGAATTCAATAAAATAATTAAAAGTTATTGGAAAACAAATGATGGAAAGATATTGTAAGCTTTAAATTTTAAAATAAAACAAATCAATTATTGGTTAAGATTAGTGGTTTAAATATAAATAATGTTAAAAACTAAGTTAAAGCTCAATCAATTATCATATATTTATATATCATTAGCAGTTCTTTAGAAAACAAAAGAGATTATGTTGTATTTCATTTTTGAATAATGCTTACGAATCGTGACACGTAGTAGACTGAAACAGAATTCTTTTAAGCTATATATATCATAACAATATCAAAATATTATGATTATTTTTAGACAAATATTAAAATAGAAGAAAAACTAGCCAAATTTATTGGAGAAGTCACGCACTCACTTAGCACAAAAGTAAATCAACCAGAGGAAGAAAAATAAGACTACTATAATGTCACTTTGATATTCACTGACAAGAATGTGGCGGCCCTTATGTCAATATCACCTAAATCAAAAATGAAAATATTTCAAAAGCGAAAAAACAGAAACAAGTAAATAAAAGCAAATATTTTAAAAATATTTCATTTCTATATTTTACTTATTATGCTTACCCCAAAAAGATCCTATAAAATCGGATTAAAGAAACAGTGAATTCTGAACCTTTCACTTTAAATTTACTGACCCTTCTTTGCATCCTCTTTCTACAAATCTTTCTTATTCACTACAAATCTTTTAGAAGCCAAAAAAAAACTTGTTTAGGTCGTCAAAAGGATGATTATGGATGAATATATAGAGTTAAGACCAGTGAAGTACACCGAGCACAAGACAGTGATCAAGAAGTACACTAAAAAGTTACCAGTGGAGAACAAGAAGAAGATCAGTACTGGTCGTGACTCGGCTAGGTTGGTCCGTGTGTGTGTGATGGACCGTGATGCCACTGATTCATCAAGTGACGATGAAGAGTCTTTGTTCCCAAGAAGACGTGTCAAGAGACTGATCAACGAGATCAGAGTCGAACCTAGCTCCTCCGGCGAAGTAAGTCTCTCCGTTGAGCCTCCGGTTCAGAAAGTCTCTGTTTCCGGCGTTGAACAAAACCCGAGGAAGTTCCGCGGCGTGAGGCGGCGACCATGGGGAAAATACGCGGCGGAGATTCGCGATCCTGAGCAACGCCGGAGGATCTGGCTCGGTACTTTCTCAACGGCCGAGGAAGCTGCCATGGTCTATGACAACGCAGCAATCAGGCTTCGTGGCCCTGATGCTCTCACCAACTTCACTGTACCAACAGAGCCTGAACCGGAGAGTAACATATCGGTTTCTTTGACGTCAGAATCAATGGATGATTCTCATCATCTAGCATCTCCCACATCGGTTCTCAACTACCAAATCTCCGAGCCGGCTGATGAACCGGTCAAACCGGTTAAACAAGAGTTCCTTGAACCGGAACGAATAAGTTGGCCAATGAGAGAAGATGTTGGTAGTAATACTGATGATTCATTTCCATTGGACATTTCATTTCTAGACAAGTATTTCAATGAATCACTGCCTGACACTTCTATCTTTGATCACTCCATGTCTCCGACTCAGTCATCAGACAATGATTTCTTCAACGGTCTCATGATATTTGATGATAAAATAGGAGGAGAAAACTATTACTCTGATATCAAAGAGATTGGTTCAGTGTTGAACGATCTAGATGAATCTTTGATTTCAGATCTTTTAGCTGTTTGATATTTTTACAAAATAAAAAAAAAAACAAGCAAACATTGGTTGCAAATATGGGCAATGTGAGTCGAATTTTGTCTGAAGTTTATTGAGTTTTGATAATGTTCCTTTTTGTTATGTTTCTTGGCGTTAAATGATTTTGTTGAGATGTAGTTTGATGTTGGGTTGTCATTGAGTATGTAAAACAGTTTTGGGAGAAATATTGGGAATGAATAGCTAAATAGTTGTTTTTGTGAGTTCTACGAACGTGTTTAATTTTGTTATTTGTTTTCATTTTGTATAAATGAGTTTAATTACGAAGCAAAACTGAATTTCTCTTTGTCGATGGATTCCAACACGAGGAACCGCAAATCACGGCCATGGCCGGTGGAGCAAGTGCCTTTTGGGCCAGTCTCAGTCGGTGTTGTTTTTGCATTTTCTATGTTAATAAGTGTTTGTGTTCTCATGTTGGCCCCTATGGAAAGAAATCAATATAGAGAAATTAATGAAAACTATCCTTTTCAAATAAGAAATTTCTAAGAATAAATCTTTGACTACTATATTTGCTCAACCAAATATGAAATTTAAAATCACCATTGACTGATTCAGATCAATTAGATTAAATAATCCATCGCTTTTTAGTTTCTTATATTTTTCTTTAATGAAAGTAGAATAATGGTGATCAGTTTGCTAAGAATTAGGCTTGTTCAATCTGGTGTTCGGTCCGGTTTCGGTTCGTTTTTTATTATTCGGTTTATAAAAATTAGCTATCATATTGGAACCATATTTAATTTGGTTTGGTTCGGTATTTATACTAAGCCTGGGCGTTCGGTGGCCCATTCGGTTTCGGTCCGGGTTATTTGGATTTTTGGATTTCCGGTGTTATGTTCACAAGTACCATTCGGTTTTTACTAATTATCGGTTCGGATTCGGTTCGGTTCCTTCCGGGTTCGGTTCGGATCGGATCTAACCAATGTTTAAAATCGTCCAGAATATATTTTTTAAAACCTTGAAAATTGACAAAAAAAAGTTTCAAAATATGTAAATTAATTACAAACCTAATTAAAAATTAGTTAAGCTATCTAAATTAACTAAAAAGTATTCAAAATAACAAATAAAACAAACTACAAAAATATTTTGAATACACTAAAATATCTAAATCACCTTAACATATATAAAAACATTAACATATTTAACTAATTTCGGATATTTTCGGATCCTAATTCGGATTTCGGTTCGGTTCGGTTCGGTTTATAACCATAGTCCAAAGTACTAAGCTTACAAGTCCCGTTCGGATATTTTTGTAAAACAGTTCGGATTCGGTTTCGGTTTTTCCGGTTCGGGTTAAGGTCGGTATTTCGGGTTGAGTTAAAAACGCCCAGACCTAATTTATACTACTGGTTTTCGGTTTATTCGGTTTTATATCAAATAACATTATTATTTGATTTGGTTTCATATTATATGAATATAAAAAACATATTGTCAAAACTATCATTTATTAAAATAATCCTAGGTGTTCATAAATATAAAAATTAGAAATTAACAACAAACAAAACGACCAACGATTCAATTTTGTACATCTTTTCTTATTTTCTTTTGTTCTTCCACATAAGTTACATGGTACAATCTAATTTCACAATTTCTTACAACATGCAAAACCAAATCAAATTTAGATAATAATTGAAGAAAATAAAATAAAATAATTAAGATATATCTTCACAATGAATAAAAAAGTAAAAAAAAAAAAAAGACTATTCCAAGAAAATAAATGGTTATATAATGTATATATTTATATATTTTTTCTTTGATTGGTTTTGTTCGGTTTATTCGGTTTAATCGGTTATAAACCTAACCATATCTAAATCCTACGGTTTTTATAGAATCATATCCATTTGGTTTATATGGTATATACCAAATCCAAACCATATTATTTATTTCGGTTCAGTTCGGTTCGGTACGGTTCGGTATTACCATATTGAACAGCCCTACTAGGAATCCACACTAAAATGGCTTTCAATTCTTGATTAACAGTATTTGACTGGATCTAACAATTTCAGTTTCGTTCAGTAATGGAATTTGTCTAAACTTGTTAAAATTCCATAGTTCAAATATGTTACATGAAAACGGAAGCAGGTGCGTGGAAGCAGAACCGTATGGAAGCGAAGAAGCGGATTTTTGAAAAAATTAGGAAGCGGAAGCGGGTTGGAAACGTATATCGAATTATTAATATAAATATATATATATATATATATATATATATATAAGCATTTAATAAAAGTTATAGCTAAAATTATATGAGTCTAATTAAAAATAAAGCATTTATTCATTTTTAATAATTGAAAATGATTCCTTTTTAATAATTTAAAATGATTTCATATTGTAATTGTGAAAATACAAACAATTAATTTTATAAAATGTTATCCAATTAATTATTTTCAATATTTTATAAATAACTGACATAATCTATTTGAATAAATATGTTATCTCTAATAAAAGTGTGTGATATTTAATAGTATCAGTTTTAGTATTTGCATATTTTTATTTTTTATTTTAATATTATAAAATTTTAGATTTCATATAAAATATGATTTTTTTTTTTTTTAGTTTACAACATACATTTTCAAAATGGAAGTGTGATTTCAAATTGGAATTGTAAGCTTCCAACGTGTTTTTAGTTAGGTTACTTTAGAAGCGTTTTGGAAGCGAGATTCCGTAAGCTTCCACAAGGTTCCGATTCCGGTTCCGAAGCGGGAAGCAGTCGTCCGACGAAGCTTCCGTGCAACATAGGTTCAAATTTGACACCTTTGTAACTGCCTCATTAATTTGATATTTATGTTTGCAGTATAATACACCGCATTAATGCTCAAAAACTTTCTTTCTTGTAATCAGTCTAGCAGATTAAGCATTGTCCATAAGTTCGGTTGTTTAAAAAGTTTGTAATTACATCTGCAAATGATTGTGGTCCTTAATTAATATGCATATTAAATTTCATTTCTAATATTCACGTGCATTTCTAACTAAATCATAACAATTGCCTAACATTAGATGAGAGAAGCAAACTGGACAAATAATTATGTCTCGAACCATATATTATAATAATAGTTACAAGGTAATGGTATGAATTGAGTATAAAACGTTGCACTCGTGTAATAATATCCCAAGCCCCAACTCACATGTTGATTTGCAGATTTACATACCGCGTTATCATTATTATGTTTGAGCTCTGCTACATACATATCTGCAGACGTATTAAATTCCATTGTATATATATGAGTGCAAATTAAACTTATTAAAATGTGAAAAATCCAAAAACATGGAAACATCTTTTGAAGAGGGAACCAAATTAGATTGTTTTCCAATTGGTTACATAAATTAATTTACAAAAGGAGGATGTGTTTCAAAGTCAGTAACATAATTTTAGATCTCTTGGGCGGCGTGGAGGAGCGTTTATGGGCTGAGAAGGTTATTGAAGTAGACATATATAGTGTTGGGAGATCGCAGATGATACACATCTTTTGACCAGTACACACAAACTCTTACGCAAATATTTGCGCTGAACAACCACACATGAAAAGTTACTATTTTGATTGGTCATATATAGAAGTCTAACTCGCAAAAAAAATTGTTTAAAAGCACAATACCAAATCCTTTTCTTTTGGAGAATATGTGATAATTCCACGGAAGGTGTGATAATGACCCATAGCCACCTAGAAGGAAAAAACTCTTTGCACAGACATGTAGGTTGACTAGAGTCATTTTTTTTTTTGTTAATTGTGCTATATATATACACAATATATTGCAGGTAAATTAGATCATACCTTTTTCAAAAGAGATAACATACGTGAAGAGTTGTTAAGTGGGTTGATGTAACAGAGCCTCTGTTGGGGACCTGCAAGAGTTGACTAGTACACATGGTTCTTCCTCCAACAAAATTAAACTCCATTTCTAAGTGGAGATTTGATTTATTTATTTTTTTGCTATGAGAGATTTTTTTTTCTTTTTTTTTTTCACTGAAAATTTAATATTAAGGGCCGAGCCCAACAACAAGTACAACATAACAAGAAAACCCAACATACGGCCCACTTAGAGAAAAACAAACCAGACCTAAATTGCAAAGCCCAAATACCCGAAAACCCTAGTCTCCACACCCATGCCGCCGTCAACGGCGCCGATCTACCACCAAACCGAGAAAACGCAACCTTCACCGCCTGGGAACCTTCTAACGGGAGCATCACGAGAACTCCTCCGCTTCCCAGGCCAACAGATCTATCCACAAGACCAACACAGATCTACAAAACCACCCAAAGGTTAAACACCTACAATCGAATCTTCATCTCCGACATACAAGTAGCGGTAACTCCTCCGCTTCCCAGGCCAACAGATCTATCCACAAGACCAACACAGATCTACAAAACCACCCAAAGGTTAAACACCTACAATCGAATCTTCATCTCCGACATACAAGTAGCGGTATCAGATAAAGGATCGAGAGGCTGAAGAGTTTTGAAGCGCATGTTCAGAGATCAAGAAAATTCATGAAAACCATGTGAAACCCAAAGAAACAAACCGGAGATAACGATACTAAAGGAGCTACCACATCCCGAGAACCAGAGCCGACGAAAACGGTGCTGAAGGAATCACCGCCTCTCGGAAACAAAGCCGACGAAAGCGGTGCTGTAGGAGCCACCGCCTCCCGGAGACAATAACCGACGATAGCAGAGCTGTAAAAGCCTCCACCTCCCGGAAACAAAGCCGGCGACGACGGAGCTGTGGGAGCCTCCATCTCCCGGAGTCAGAAAACCAAACGAGAATATGCAAGACAGGAAAATAGTGAAGAAAACTAAACAAAAGACAAAACCGGACCGACGATGGCTGTGGGAACCCATCCCGTCGGCCGGTGACACTATTCACGATTAAGATCTAGTGAGAAGACAGAGCTTTCTCTCTCTCGTATACTATGTGGAAGTGCTTATCTCCGTTCCATTTTATTGTCATTTTGAGAGATTTTTTTTTCTAGAACTTATTTTTTTTGTTTAATTTACGAATTTAACATACAACACTACGCATTTTTCTTTCTTTTTCGTATTTAACAATAATAACTGTCAATAAACTTAATGAAATTAAATCCCGAACGGTTTCACACTGGTAATGTATAATGGTTCTACATTTTCACCATATCCTTAGTGGGTTGCAGCACCGTATATAGTTATGAATAATTCAAATTCAGAACAACA